AGAACAAATGTCTTGACAATTTTGTCTTTGCTCGTAATCAAAGATGAAATGTCCTCCCAACACAGGCTCAGGGGAAAATACCAGGCAGTTGTGTCCCTGAGTCTGGTGACGGAGTAAATGTTGGACAGAAGCAAATATGATTATTGGACAAAAGCTAGCTGTTATCAGGAAACATTTACATGATGATTTTGTGTGATGGTGACTGTAAAACAAAGCAATTATTGTCACTGACAGCTCAAAGTTACACAATGAATGAGTGGTTTTCATAAGAGCTTTTCTCACTAGCATGCCCTAAGCTCTGAATGGAAGTCTGAGAAGGACAGGTGTGGGGAAAGAGATTTCTGAGGAACACCATTTCCGGGATATTCTATTATAACAGCCTCCTAAGTGTTCTCCATGACTCTGGTCTTGTCTCCTCCAAACTGTTCTCCACATTTTCAGTTAGAACATTTCTTCTGCAAATGCAAATTTGATCAAGCATCTCTCCTGTCTACAGTTCTTCCATAATTTTCCTTAGCCTCTGCCTTCCTGCCCCAGGTCTCACCTCTCCCAGGCCACATGCTTGGGGCGCTAGCCACTGTGAACCCCGTTTCCCAATTACCAACACACTTTCTCAGTGCCTTTGCTCTTTGCAGTAGGTTCCTTCTGCCAGGAACACACTACCCAGTGCCTCCTCCTTCCAACTTTAATCTCTAAGTCTCAGTTCACGCATCAACGCCATAGGAATTCTTCCCTGATCAGGCAAGCTGGGCACCAGGAACTTCTTATGCAGGCCCAGTGTTCTAGTGTCCCCCAAGATCATAGAATTCATCACACTGCTATCTCCATTATATGTCCACGTGCCTGTCTAACCCACAAGCTTCTTGGGGACAAGGACTATGCTTCATTCATCGTTGTGTTGCCAACACCCGGCCTGTTTTACAATTGGTGCTCAATCATCGTTCCTGGAAAGAATAGCTAAATGAATGAGTGAGCATAATTTAATATTATAAACAGCAAAGGCATGACTCTGAGCTCTGTCATGAGTGTTTGTTGTTTAATATCCCTGGAAATTCAGGGCATCTTTGCTGCCCCTGCTATTGAAATAACTAGGGCCAGGGTCTGCTTGCTGTTCTCCACTCTGGGCCCCTCTCCCTCTCTCCCCCTAGCTCCCTGAGGACCCTGGGATGGGTATTTAAATGAAATGTGCTTCAATGTCTGTGGCTGAGAAACACAGAGCGGGTAGGAATAAGATAAAAGGAACTAAGTCTGCAGAGTGTTCTGGAAAGCAAGTGAGCAACAGTGTGAATAGGACTACGAGGGAGGGGATTTGTGTGGTGAGTGTTCCATATTCCCAGGACAGAGTAACCGATTCTAGAGCTTTCTTTTCTCTTACTATTACCAAATGCTAGACTTTGTCCTGAATTTCCACAAGCAGTCCCGTGCAAGAAGGCAAATGCAAACGAGCAAGAAAACATGATGAAAACTCTGTTCTGGTTGGCACCTAAATAGCAGATGCCTTCGGAAAACAGAGTCTGGTGAGAATCAGAAACTGTAGCTTTCTTGTCAAAGTTTTGGATACAGAAACCTTAGTGGTAGGAACTCTGCTCCTTTCTGGGGGCCCATATGTGTGAGAAATGCCCCAAGACCAGCCAGCTGCAGTAGAAGTGGCTAGATGCTGTCCCCAAGGCTGACGCTCCCCTGCTTCCTCTTCTGGTTACCCGGAGCTCTGGAGGTTTTCGGT